AGGTGTGCTGTTCCTTCATAGGAGGGGCCATAATCGCATGCCATCACATGGGCCAGTAGTATTGAACGTCTGCAGGAGGAGAGAGCACATATTCAAGGGTGCAACAGCAGCTAAGGGCTCCTGGAGCCAAAGTACCTGCTAAAAGCACAATGCTTCTTAGGGTGTGTCTGCAGTGCAGTTAGGCACCTGTGGCTGGCCCATGCCAACTGACTCGGTCTCATGGGGATCGGGCTACGGGGCTGTTTAATTGCAGTGTAGATGTTCGGATGCAAGGTGGGAGAGTTCCAGAGCTTGGGCTGCAGCCCGAGCCTGAATGTCTACACTACTATTAAACAGCCCTTCAGGCTAAGCCCCTTAGCCCAAGTCAGCTGGCATGGGCCAGCTGCGGGTCTCTAATTGCAGTGCAGACATGCCTTCTGAGTTCCTGCCTGGGTTGTGCACTGTCCTCTACTGTGGGCTCTTACAGTGCAGCAGTTGTGCTCTTGAGATCTGTAGAGTGTTTTAAAAACATAACATCCTATATACTGTAAGAAATAATAATGATTATTAACTTGGCATGTATTGTAGAGTATTCTTTTCTTACTCTATGCGATAATGTTAGTATCAGTTTGTATTAACATTAGATTTCTATTCAACATTACCAGTTGACATCTGTACTTTCTATTTGATTATATTCCTCATACCTGCTGTGTTTTCCTATTTAACAAGAAGCAGATGAAGCTGAGAGATAAAGTTAACAAAGATCTTCTTCCCAATGCAGGAAATGTGCATAGTTGAAGAACCTTTAGAGGAATTCACTTCAAGACATAGTCTGGAATGGAAATTTTTATTTCTGGATCACAGGTTTGTGAGCAGAAAAACATACTTGGTTTTGTTTGTACCTGTTTACTGCTAGTTTCATTAGCCAGATTCTGTCAAATAATATTATGCTTCACATCAAAATAGTTTGAAGAGCCTGGTTATCAGCACTATTATGACTAAAATTGCTACACAAGCTGATGTTTGATTTCACTGATTCTGGAGCTGGATGATTTTGTCTGCATTTATTTTTTCATCAATCTTTTTTACACAAATACTGTGTGTTTAAAAAAAAAAAAATTTCCTGAAAGTATTTTGATTAGCCAATCCTTATCTGTATTAAAATGTCAGTAGGCTATGAGCTCTAATCACAACAATTTCTAATTATTATACGGCTAATTGGCTAATCCAGAAATCAGAGGTAATAATCCAGAAAAGTCAGGAGGATAGATGTTTTTTTGTGTGTAACCTGTGCATTTTAGAAAAATGTGCCATGAAAATATTTCTTTCCAAATTCAGCCATGTGTGCAACTCCAATTGGGCCAGTTGCTGAGGATCATGGAGGGCAGCTCTGTGCTGGTTTGACCAGTCTTGGGGCAGTCGGGCTGGCAAAGTTAGAGGTGTGAATTGGCTGCTCAGACACTCCATGTTCAGGCCCTGCAGAGGCCCACAATGAAAAGAAGCTTATGCAAGTTATCTCCCTGTCTATTCCTCCAGTCTCAGTGGTACTCTTTGCTATGCAGGAGCCATAGAGGCTGCTGTTGCCTAGAACAGTTGTGGTTCTAGTGAAGTCACTTGCCCCAGGGGAGAAACAGGGAAAGGCCTGAGAATGGGCCGGGGGGTGGGGGAGGAATGCTCCTCGAAGCAAGTTCTTGAGAGGATATTGGGCGTTCCTGGGGCGCTCAGTTCCCAGTTACCTTTTTCCTGCAAGGGAGATCTCTGTCTTACAAGTCTATGACCTCTCTGGCTGGCTGGCAACTTTGTTCAAGAGCTGCTAGCTAGCTCTGGTGTTGGGTGGGGAGAGATGTTGCTCAGCTCCTTTGCTATCTCTGGGTGTAACTCAATCAAGGAGACTCTGCCTTCCCGCAACAGGAACATCAGGGTGAGACCATGTTACTCCTGTCACCATTCCTTGGTGACACCACTGCCATATAAGGCAGTTGGATGGGGGCTGAAGTCACCAGGCAGTGCCTTGAGGGGAAAGGAATTGCTATAGAGCAGTGTCATGGTTGCTCTCCAATGGGACCTCCCATCTCAGGATGCCCGTGCCACTCTGCAGGTGTGGAACCCAGTCGGGAAGCTGAACTACAGCTGAGCTCCCTGCCCAAAGAGCAGAGAAGTCAGGATTTGGCCCATTTATTTCAGTGGGAGTTACGTATGTGTAAGTGAGAGCAGAATTTGGCCCAACTGACACTCTGAATTTCCTATTTAACATAGAAAGAGTTGCTGTGTGTTTCATTGTTTTGATTAAATAATTTGTACTGTGCCCATATGCAGAGCACCGCCTATTATAGGATACTTGCCTTTTGAAGTGCTGGGAACTTCTGGCTATGATTATTACCACATTGATGACCTAGAACTCTTAGCAAGGTGCCATGAACACTGTAAGTATTGCATAGTGTAAGCTCACATGAATTAATTGGCATGCTTGTTCTCAGTAAAATGCAGCTTCCGTTAAGATAGGTGTAAACTTGGTGGCCCAGGTTCTTACCTCTGGCACACTGCTATAAACCTATGAACTGACTTTAGTGGACTTGTTTCAGATTGAGTGTTCTTTAGCACTTAGAAGGCCAAATCCTGCTTTTGTTATTCACACAAGTAGTGCCAATGACAAGCAGTCAGGCAGACTCATTGCATGAGTGATGCAATCAGGATTTGAGCTACGTTCTGTTATTCTAGTAAACTCACACAGTCTTGGAGAAGGTCACAGCTTTGTAAACCTTCTGCAGATTGTTATCCCTGGTGTTGTTCAATATATATTTAAAATCAGGGATTATTTAAATGTACTCTATTAGGATTTTTAAAAAACACCATTTGCTAAGTGAAGAAATATAAAAATCAAGCAATCTTATTCAAATATTGCTTATAGCATTGATGGTAATTCTCAGTCTTATTACCCTGCTATGGTGTGAACGCCTGCAGTCAAAATTAGTTTTGGGATATTGACATTAAAATATAAGGCTAAATGCATTGAAGTGGGAGACCCTTGATGTTAATAAAACTAAAGCAGGAGTGAATTTGGCCCAGGAAGGTTTAAAACATTCAGGGCAAGTGTAAACTACAAAATTAAGTTGACCTAAGTTACATCAACATACAATCACCACAGTAATTAAATTGCTTTTGCGTATCCATACTACGCTCCTTGCGTCGGCCGTGTGTGCCCTCACCAGGAGCACCTGCACTGATTTAACTGCCAGTGTGGGACATTGTGATACGGCTTCTGAAAGCCAGCAACAATCGATCTCAATCGATGTAATGAACGCAGTGTCTACACTGACATTTCATCAACCTAGCTACATTGACCTAAGCACTACGCCTCTCATGAATGTGGAGTTATTAAGTTGGTGTCGTGGGCTAGTTACATTGTGGGAGCTACATTTTAGGGTAGACACTTACAGAGATAGGTTGACGTAACTAGCTGCCTTGCATCGACCTAACTCTGTAGTGTAGGCCAGGCCTCAGTCAGGTCATCTCTGAAATCTTTACTGGCTGGGGAATTCCATTCAGTTTCAAATGATTTTCATCTATGTCTCATGTTATCTCAGTGTGTAGACTTAAGGCCAAATTTTGTACTGATTTAAACTATGTCATATAAGCCAGTGGATGTGCATAGGGTAAGTCTGCACAGGATTTAGTCCACCTTCTAAGGCATTCACATGCTCTATTTCCCTGCTATGAAACTCAGACCTTTCACATACAGTTATATAGTCTTAGAAATCAATGCCAGATGCTTATTTGGCTAATTTGTGACCTGCACTTAGAACACAGAAAGAGTTACATATAAATTGTAGTTATTAATACATGGCCATAGTTAGCATTCATCATATCTGTGCTATTTATAAGCATACTTTGTATATTTAAAATTTCAGAAAGGGATGCCTGGTGACATACATGATATGTGCTTTTACCATAAATCTCAGAGAGATTTCTTACAAAACTTTTTAAAAGTTATTTTTCACATTTTAAAATTTGTTATATGCAGTCTCCGTTTTCTACTAACAGTGATGCAGTTTGGCAAGGGAAAGTCTTGTTGTTACCGGTTTCTGACCAAAGGACAGCAGTGGATCTGGCTGCAGACCCATTACTATATCACCTACCATCAGTGGAACTCCAAGCCAGAGTTCATTGTATGCACACACACCGTAGTAAGGTAGGGAAAAGACTTAGTTATATTTGTCACCATTGTAATCAAGTCAGAGTCTATGGACCTAAAAGCACAAGAACATATGGACATTTTAATGATTTCATAAAGTCTCCTTAAGAGTCTTTCGCATAACAAAAATGAAGTCTGAATTCTGTAGAGAAAATAAGCTTCATTAAACAAATATGATCAGGTTAAGTCTGTCTTCATGCTCCATGTACCATATGAGTACAAAATTCATTTGTCAGCCATCAGACTCTTAAAATCAGGGGCCAGCTTATTGGTTGCATTTGGCCCCCTTTGTGCCAATCCTATGATAGAAAGGGGCCGTGAAGTATCACATTACATCTAACCACTGGAGAATTCCCTCTTGTAGGTGTAACCCATACACCTCCTGGGTGTGCTGTTCTGTCCCATCTAGTGGCACCGAGACAACTTAGGCCTTGTCTACAGTACGCAGTTATTTCAGAATTAGCCGAGTTAATTCGAAATAAAACTGATTCCGTCCACACGACCAAAGCGGTTTTTTCGATTTAAAGGGATCTTTAATCCAATTTCTGTACTGCACCTCGGCAAGTGGAGTAGCGCTAAAATCGAGATCGCAGTTCCAGGTTACAGGTACTGTGGACGCAATTGGACGTTTATTGGCCTCCAGGAGCTATCCCAGAATGCTCCCTTGTGACCGCTCTGGACAACACTCTCAATTCTGATGCACTAGCCAGGTAGGCAGTAAAAGACCCGGAAACTTTTGAATTTCATTTCCTGTTTGGTCACCATCAGCACAGTCCAACATCACATGAGACCACGCAGTCCCTGATTCGCAGACGAGCTCCAGCATGGTCTGAACAGGAGGTACTGGATCTCATCGCATGTTGGGGAGATGAATCTGTTATGGCACAACTACGTTCCAAAAAAAGAAACGCAAATACGTACGCTAAAGTCTTCAGAGCCATGATGGAAAGAGGCAACTCCAGGGACACAGAGCAGTGTCGTACAAAAATCAAGGAGCTCAAGCAAACGTACCAAAAAGCCAGGGAGGCAAACAGGCACTCTGGGTCACAGCTCCAAACATGCCGTTTCTACTGTGAGCTGCATGCAGTTATGAGGGGTGACGCCACCACTACCCCACCACTGTCCATGGACACCTGCAAGGGGGGAGTTGCATGGAGCGAGGAGGATGTTATTGGAGGATGAAGAGGAGGAGGAGGACAGTGAATATGCGGCAAGTGGGGAATCCATTTTCTCCCCTAGCCAGGAACTATTCTTAACACTGGACCCAATAGCCTCCCCCCACTCCCAATGCGGGCTCCCGGACCATGACCCTGGGGAAGGCACTTCTGGTGAGTGAGAGCCTGATCAGAGCCATGCGGTGGGGGGAAACCCAGCCGCGCTGGGCTGTTCGTGTTTAGTGTAAAGGGCTCATCCCTGCTCAGAGCCTCATCGGAGCCACACGGTGTGTGTGTGCGGGGGGGGGGGGTGTTGTGTGAAGCGATCATCCCAGAGAGCCTGCAGGCCCTCCTTTTATATGGCAAACCCACCAGGCATTGCTTGCTATGGGAAAGGGGGCCTGGCACTTTGAAAGCATTGAAATGAATGTGGAAGAAGCAGAACCCTGCGTTCCCCTAGGGCTTACCATAGCTGCCTGAAAGCTGAATTCTGTTGCCTGGCTGCTTGTGATGGCTTACTCACACCAAAGTGGCAGGCACTTCAGTATTAGAGGCAAAATGCGACCTTGTACAGAAAGAACATGTGCTGTGTACTATATATTGCTTGTTTCACTGAGAAAGTGTCCCCTTTGTTCTCTAAAATGTATCTTTTAAAATACTACCCTCCCTTTTCCTCCTCCCGCAGGTGCAAATGTTTCAACGCGGCCCCTATCTGCTCCGTCCCAGAGGCTGGTCCAGATTAGAAGGCGGAAAAAACAAACTCGGGACGACATGTTTGCCGAGCTCATGCAGTCCTCCTGCACTGATAGGGACCAGCTGAATGCATGGAGGCAAACAATTGCAGAGTCCTGTAAAGTGTTAAATGAACACGAAGAGAGGAGGGACGCACGCGATGAGAGCAGGCAGGATGCTATGGTCAAGCTAATGGGGGAGCAAACTGACATGCTCTGTTGTATGGTGGCTCTAATGCAGGAAAGGCAGCAAGACCACAGGCTGCCACTGCAGCCCCTGTATAACTGCCCTCCCTCATCTCCAAGTTCCATAGCCTCCTCACCCAGACGCCCAAGAACCGGGGGGGGGAGGAGGGGAGAGAAGCTACGGGGACCCACACACTCAACCTCATAGGATTGCACAAGCAGCAGAAAGCTGGAATATCCGAAATTTTGATTTGTTTTCTGGACTTGTCTTTATGTCCTCCTCCACCCCCCTCCCCCGGGCTACCTTCTGATTTCTCTCAATGTGTTGTGCAACAAATAATAAAGAACGCTTTTTAAACAATTGTGACTTTATTTCCTTTCATATATATAGGGGGCTGGTAACTTCAAGAGAAACAAACACAACTGTCACACCGTACCCTGGCCAGTCATGAAACTGGCTTTCAAAGCTTCTCTGATGCTCAGTGCGCCCTGCTGCACTCTTCTAATTGCCCTGTTTTCTGGCTGTGCAAAATTGGCCGCCAGGCGAGTTGCCTCAACCTCCCACCCCGCCATAAACGTCTCCCCCTTACTCTCACAGATATTGTGGAGCACACAACAAGCAGCAATTACAAGTGGAATATTAGTTGTGCTGAGATCTAACCGAGTCAGTAAACTGCGCCAGTGCGCTTTCAAACGTCCAAGAACACATTCTACCACCATTCTGCACTTGCTCAGCCTATAGTTGAACTGCTCCTTACTACTGTCCAGGGTGCCTGTGTACGGCTTCATGAGCCATGGCATTAAGGGGTAGGCTGGGTCCCGAGGATAACTATAGGCATTTCAACATCCCCAACAGTAATTTTCTGGACTGGGAAGTAAGTCCCTTCCTGCAGCTGTACAAACAGACCAGAGGTCCTGAAGATGTGAGCGTCATGCACCTTTCCCGGCCATCCCACACTGATGTCGGTGAAATATCCCTTGTGATCCACCAGTGCTTGCAGCACCATGGAAAAGTACCCCTTGCGGTTTACGCAGTGGACGCCCTGGTGTTCCGGGGCCAAGATATGGATATGCGTTTTGTCTATCACCCCTCCGCAGTTAGAGAACCCCAGCGCATTAAAGCCATCCACAATGGTCTGCACATTTCCCAAAGTCACTACTCTTGATAGCAGCTGGTCAATGATCGCATTGGCTACTTGCAGCACAGCAGCCCCCACAATAGATTTGCCCACTCCAAACTGATTTCTGACTGACCTGTAGCTGTCGGGCATTGCAAGCTTCCACAGGGCTGTGGCCACTCGCTTCTCAACTGTGAGGGCTGCTCTCATTTTGGTGTCTTTGCACTTCAGGGCACAGGAAAGCAAGTCACAAAGTTCCATGAAAGTGGTCCTACGCATATGAAAGTTTCACAGCCACTGGAAATCATCCCATACCTGCAACACTAGGCAGTCCCCCCAGTCTGTGCTCGTTTCCTGGGCCCAGAATCAGCGTTCCATGGCATGAACCTGGCCCAACGCCACCATGATCTCCCAATTGCCACATGCCGTGCTTCTAGGAATGTCTGTGTCCATGTCCTCATCACTATCATAATCGCGCTGTTGTCGCTTACTCGCCCGGTTTTGCAGGTACTGCACATACTGCTGGATAATGCACGAGGTATTTACAATGGTCAAAACTGCAGCGGAGATCTGAGTGGGCTCCATGCTTGCCACGCTATGGCGCCTGCATGGGTAATCCTGGGAAAAGGGCGCGAAACGTAGGAGAGCAGAGTGGCAGCGGAATAGGTGCTGTTTGGTTCACAATAGCCAAAAAAAGGCCAGAAATGGTTGTCTTCTGTAGCTTTCATGGAGGCGAGAGCCCAGGACAGACAACACGGAGAAGCTCAATAACGTGGCAAGAGCGGGAGAGCAGAGTTGGCAGCGGAAGCTGTGTTGCTCAGTTCACTATGGCCGAGCATAGTTGGCAGTGGAAGCAGTCGATGAGGAAGAGAAAGAGTAGATACTTATAGAGATTACATAGAAAGACGAGAAGAAATGCGAGATGGATTCATAGTACTAGGAGAGAAGCGGTGCACCGTACTGCACCGTCTGCTGAAAGCAGTATGGCGTCTGCACGCCAAAAAGGCGCGAAATGATTGTCTGCCATAGCTTTCACGGAGGGAGGAGTGACTGACGACACATACCCAGAAACACTCGTGAGAATGCTTTTGCCCCATCATGCACTGGGAGCTTAACCCAGAATTCCAATGGGCGGTGGGGACTGTGGGAACTGTGGGATAGGTACCCACAGTGCACCACTCCGACATTTGATGCTAGCCTCGGTACTGTGGATGCACTCCACCGAATTCACACACTTTAGTGGGGATACACAAGACCGAAAGTATAAAATCACTTCTGAAAATTCGAATAGAATAATTTCGAAATAATTTCGTGCTGTAGAGTGACGTACCCTTAGAGAGAGAGAGAAAGAAAGAGAGAGATTAATGAGTTTGCTCTACAGCTTTAGCTAACAGCGATATGGCTTTTAGCTCATGCAGTAGAGGCTCATGCACTAACATTCAGAGGCCCCAGGTTCGATCCCGCCCACTGACAACTGGGATCTGTCGGTGTTACATAGGGATCAGCCATGCATGGTATATGGCAAATGTAATGGTAGTAGGCCACCTCTCTAACAGCCTCTGACACAAGGGGCAAGGCTGAAGAAAAGAGAGTGAGGCCAGAGTATTGATACATTTCAGCTGTTCTTGGCTGGTGGAGTGGCCCCTGGGGGCCAAGATGACTAGGAGTAGGTTAAAGCAGTTGACCAGCTCACAGATAGGGGAATTGCAAATTTGGCTTAAAGCTACCTTTTATCCCCATCCCTTCTGCTCAGCTGGAATCAGAGAATCAGGACATTCAACTGTATAAAATAGTACAAGACAGTACAATAGTACAATACAGCTTATGGATGTAAATGCAGCATAGGTGATGGTATTTCAAGTGTTGCTTTTGAAAATAAGGAGGAGGCATAACTCTCAGCTTCCTACACAGTGTTAACATAAAGCACAAGAAAATTAAAAAGCTTTGAGCGTATTTCAGAGTAAATAAAATTCTGATGTTTTGGGGACTTAGACAATAGCAAGCCACTGAGGTCTTGATTCTGTCCCCTGTTCCAGCCCCACCCCCCCACTCCAGGTCACAGTAGGCTAGGTAGGAGAAGCATAGGGCTGCTGTAAGTGGCCCGATAGGATCCAGCATAAGGGGTGTGCTGAGAGTGGTTGTAGCACTTAGTGCAATGGGGATGTAGGGCCGTAGAGCAGCCCATAGGCAGCCTGCTTAAGAGTGGGGTGGGATGGAAGTGAGTGATGAAGGTTTATATGGCAGTGGGGGAACAGGCTGATCACTTTCATTTCCTGACATTCTAATATTTGGGTTTTTTTAAAGTGTGGAACTTTTGTAAAGAAATTGTAACATTGTTTTGGGTTGGACTCCAACAAAACACACTTTCAGCCTTAACGCTTTTTTAACAAATGTTTTGTTTGTGAATGGTTATATAGAAGTTGAGCAGAAATTGAAAATAAAAACACAGTCCTTCAAATCATATGCATTAAATGTGACTTGATTTCATTTATCATGTAATGGTTTACAGTATCATGTAATGTTGCTCCGTTTGTTTAAAATGCATTTTATAAAATAAAATAATGAAATGTTACTCATGTAGAATTACATTTTTCAATTAGTTATGCCGATGTTCGAGTGGAAAGGAGACAAGAACTGGCCTTGGAAACTGCACCCTCAGAAGTTGTTTCTTCAGCACTAAAGGTATAACCAGATATGTTTTTCATAAACATGCAGTAATTGTGACCTATTCTTGTGTTAACATTTCCAAAGATCTAGAAGCAATGCTGATCTAGACATATTCCCTGAATTTTATACTCCAGGGTTCGATGAGCTCTTGAACAATTATTTAAGTGAACTGGAGATGCGCATAAAAGGACAAACTTAGAGATCAGAGAGAGTGGTGAAACACAAAGCCTGGGCAGTAGCATTTGTGAGCTTTACCATGCTTCCTTGCCAACATGCTACGATTTGACCTAGAGGGGCCATTTCTAAGAGTGAGATTCCTTCTGGAACAATCATCTTGAGATTGTTTTTCATGCACAAGAATACTGCCTCCTGCATATTAAAGCAGAGTGTACAAAAGTTATTTATAAGCAGTACCCTGTCACGATAATACCTGAGTCTTTCATGTAATATATCACATGGTGATACCAATATAAGCAAGTTTTAGGAGGAAAAATTCACTCCTGTGTTGACTTGTCTGCCAAATTCCTACCTAGAGTGGATCAAAAGGTCACATTTATTACAACCTGAAAAACAGGGTTTAAATGAAATTGCCAACTCATCCTTAACTACACACTGACATGCATAAGTCTGAACCTGTCCAAAACGTGTTATCTGAAGAACAAAGGGTCCAATTTTGTGCATTGCTGAATGGTTCTGGGTATTGTCACTCACCACTGAAGGAAGAAAGAGATTCTGCAACTCAAAGGACTGGACCGAAAATGAATAGGGCAATAGCCTGCATGGTCTTTCCACAACAGTAAAAGCTCATTCATATGCAACTGGAAGGTATAGCAGAAGTAGGTGTCATAGACATTCTGGCCCAGGTTCTCTGCTGCTGTAGATTGTAATAGCTCCATGGAAGTCAGTTTATACCAGCTGAAGATCTGACCCTACGAGTACTATTAGATACATGACAGAACACCATACCCTGTCAGATGTAATATGATGTTTTTTTTTAATTTTAGGACAGTGGCTTAGGCTTGAATCCCGAACAGCACTTTAATGCACTTGAAATAGGTGTCTCAGTTCTCAACACTAGTCGGACACCCTCTGTATCATCTAGAAGCTCACACAAATCTTCCAACACACCCATGTCTGACCCTGCATGTAAGTGATGTTATGGAGCTACTGTATCAATACTTTGTTTTAAAATTAGCTAAATTACCCCCATAAAAGTGAGTGTATCATTCCTGGTGGTATAATAATTACTGGTGAGATGCTGAAGGTGCTGATGACGTGTCCATTAATTCCATCGCCCATGGACAGGTAAGTAGTTAATTGAAGGTGGTAAAATGGGCTGATGTAATCATCCATGTCTTCGGAATAAAGGGGGCTAGTTATGAAGCCTGTTGCTGTTGAGTTCTATGAAGATGAAATTTACAGTTGCTAGGCACAGTTCCAAGCTATAATATTATACTGTGTTGTCCTGGAAGTTAGTAAGGTCATCAGCTGGAAAGTTCTGAAACTCAAGGCTAAATTCAGAAGTCATGCATAAGGTTTTAGTAAAGCCCAGTGGTTCTCAACCTGTAGGCACATG